ATTAATCTTAATAATTACTATATACGCTGTTAGTTTTCTAAAAAAATAAAATAAAATAAAACACAGAATGCCCTTTACATTGTAGTCTAGATATGTTGCCATATCTGCACTGCGCAACATCACAGCGGTGACACTCTCTGTACGTGATGCCTCCTCTACACTACTCGCGAAGTAGATCGAATTTGGACGAGGTGAATAGTGTAGAGAGGTACTTCGATTCACTTCGTCCAACCTCGCAACGCCTCGGGCGACTTTCGATTGCTGTCGGTTTTTTGCGCCTGAGTCAAAGGACTTCGCGAAGTACCCCGAAGTTACAGGAAGCGTCTCACTACACTACTCGACTTACGGCAGTTATGATTTTTTTTTTATATATAAATATTAAATATGTAGCTTTCTACATAATTATTTATTTAGTTAATGCATTGGCGTTCTGGCTACTGTTCACACAATTAGGTACCTATAGCAATTGCCTCTTGAACCTCATTCATGTTAAGGGTGCGGGAGACTCAAGACAACTGAGCTCTTCGCGAAGTAGCACGAGTGTGTGGTCACTTTCTTCGGACTGCGATCGACTTCGACGAGCAGTTCGTCGAAGTTACTTCGCGAGTAGTGTAGAGGAAGCATGAGAGTTCAAGCGCCTGTGACATTTAGGCGAAGCGTGTAACGCTAGAGTTGATACCGAACCGGAATGGAATATTATAGACTTGTGCCAAAGAAAATACATAGTAGGTATATGTTATATAATTGAAAACGTGTGAATTTAGGTAGTGAAAGATACGATCAATTTTAAATAAACTTTTATTAAATATCTTTACAGATGGGAAATATTAAAATTTCCGACAAAACAAAATATGCACGACAGTTAATAGTAATCTTAAATAATTAACCAACACTTAGTATATCAGTACGCAATAATCAGTATTACCTACCACCCTTTAAAAATTACTTACTCTTATATATTTTTTACTTTTTCGGTGACTTTTATAATTTTCATTATTATTTCTAACAATTGCAAAATTCGTAGCCGTATGTTTAATATTTTTAGAAAATCCTTAGGGAAGCATAGATAGATAGATAGATAACACTTTACTGTACGCCAAAACATAGAATAGAATAGAATAGAATAAGTCATTTATTGTGCTAGTTGTAGTGCTCTCTCTCTCTCTCTCTCTCTATATATATATATATATATATATAGAGAGAGAGAGAGAGAGAGAGAGAGATTTAACACTATAAAAGTAATTAAGTATCACCACAACCTGCCTAGGTAAGGCTTACAATATTATTAAAATCATGGAACTAAAAACATTATCTCATTATTCATTAAATCAAATCAAATAACACAGATAATAAAGCATAATGTCATACAATGAAATATTTCAACAAATGTGGATAATAAATAATAATGTCAAAAGTACAATGGAATTATGCCAGTATAAGCTAAGTCTATGAATGGAATATTGATATATCAAAATACATCATGTAAGCTTATAACAAAAACGTAATGATTTTAATATTCTTTGCTTAAAACATAATTCAGAAAATATTTCAAATGTCAATTAATTTAGAATGTAAGTTTGTAGCTCAAATAATGTTTTAAGGAGTAAAAACATCTTTCAGTCAATAATTCTAATAATTTATTCATAAATTTTTTTATTTCTAAATCTTTTAATTTGTCAGGTAAATGATTATATATTTTTGGTCCTAATGCATAAAAACTTTTTGAGAAAAAGGCTGTCCTAGATGTGTGAAACGGTATAATAGTAACATTATTCTTTGTTTGCCTCGGGTGCTTAGCAATGTGCGAGTTAAAATAATGTAAATTACTTTTGACGAATAAGCAGGCTTGGTATATGTACAATGAGGGCAGATTTAGGATTATTAATTTTACAAACAGAGGTCTGCAACTGTCAGTTTGTTTGGCACCAAACATTGCTCTGAGACACTTTTTTTGCATACTAAACAATGGCAACAGGTTAACATCAGCCGCGCCTCCCCAATGTATGATACCATATCTTAAGTTGGTGGCAACGTATCCATGATAAGCAGTAAGTGCAGCTTTTTGTGAGACAGTTTGTGTTAATTTTCTTAGAGGATAAACAAATTTACTAATTTTACTTGTAAGATATTCGGTATGCGGTTTCCAGCTTACACATTCATCAACCAACACACCAAGGAAACGTATTTGTTTTACTCGCTCAATCAAATGCCCCTCATACTTAACAACAACAGTCTCTTGTTTCCAGTTTTGGGGAAGATAAAACTGCATATATTTTGTCTTATTCAGGTTTATGACGAGATCATTAGCTTTCATCCAATTGATAATATCAGACAAAGCTTCAGCAATAACACATTCGTATAGTTTAATGCTGTTATTTTTTATCATAACAGTAGAATCATCTGCGACAAGGATCATTTCATGCTGCACATGTCTAGGTAGGTCATTGATGTACAATAGAAAAAGAAGCGGCCCAAGTATACTTCCTTGGGGTACACCACACTTTACAAGCTGCGACTGAGATCGTACCTGCACTTCAGATCGATTTTCCTCATTAACATAAGAGATTTCTGTGCATTGAAATCGGTTATTTTAATATGACGATACAAGACCAAATATAGGTCCTCTGATACCATACATATATAACTTTTGCAGAAGCTTTTCATGATTTACGTAATCAAAAGCTTTTGACATATCCATAAAAATAGCAGTTACTGGAACGCTATCGTCGAGGCATTCCGATACAACTTTTATCATGTAATATATGGCTAGATTCGTAGATCTATCCTTTCTAAATCCGTATTGCTCGTCTACTAGTAAATTGAATCGTTCGCAATAATTATATATGCTTGTATATATGATTTTCTCAAAAATTTTGGAAATGACAGAAACCAGAGCAATTGGGCGATAATTTCTACAATCTTCTTTATCCCCTTTCTTGAAAATAGGTTTAATTACTGATATTTTTAGCTTATCAGGGTAAATCCCATTATTTATAGTTAAATTGACAATTTGACAAAGCGGCCGAGCAAACTGAAAATTACAAAATTTTAATACTCTAGTGGTTATTTCATCGTGACCAACACTTGTTTTATTTTTTAAGCTACTAATTATTTTAACTATATGATCGGGCGTTGTTGGATTCATAAACAATGAATTTGATATACGTTCAATGTTACTTCTGTTATTTATTGGTTTGCAGTTCTGTACAGGATTCATAAATGTATCATTAAAAGCTTCTGCAATATCACCTGGTTTAGTAATCGTTTTCTCTTTGTTACACTCTTCAAAATTTCTTTTGGCTTTGTTAAATTATTTGAATTTATTACCTTCCACGTAGATCTTGTTATATTTTTAGACTTGTTGATGTAATTGTTGTTTTGAATGCGTTGTGATTTATTAATAACTTTTTTTAAAAGTGCTGTATATGCATTATATTTAAGTTTATCATTTTTAGATTTTAATTGAAAGTACATTTTCCTTTTGCGTTTACACGATGTTTTGATACCACTTGTAATCCAAAATGGCTTCCGCTGAGTTGAAATTTTAACTAGGTTGAACGGGAAGCATAAGTCATAAAAGAGTTTAATCAATTCATAAAACAAATTGTACGCTTCGTTTACATCATTGCTTTGATAAATATCATAAAAGGATAAGCTTTCCAGGCATTCTCTAAATTTGGTTAGATTTTCAATACTATAGTCACGTCTTTTGATAAACCAGTATGGCAAGCAGAAGTAATTTATTGAGATAGGATATTGCAACACTTGAGCAGTGTGGACGTATAATCCTAAATGTAAAATTTTCCTTTTACACCCACGGCAGTTATGAATGATATTATCGATACACGTTCCACTTTGTAATCTAGTCGCATCCATGAATCCAATTTTAAAGTTATGACTCGACAAAAGATTAATAAATACATTAGTTGTCATGCAATTTTTTAAAACATCAATATCAAAATCACCACATATTATAGTTTTCTTAGTTCTATATTTGCTAACCCTATCCAACAAAGTTTCAAGTTTTTCGAAAAAGATAGAGATATTACTATAATTAGGAGTTCTGTATAAACAAATAATTATAACATTAAAAGACCCAAGTTCAATAGCACAACATTCAAATACGGTACTGAGAGAGTTTCTTGTAATTTCTGGTAATTCTCGGTAATTAAGTCCTCTTCGAGTCATAATACATGAGGTGCATGTATTATGACTCGCATTTTTTCTGCAGTATATGGCAGCTATATTGTAGTTATTGCATACTAAATTGGTTTCATGTCCATTCTTTACAAAATGTTCAGTTAGACAAATAACGTCAATACAGTTTCCTTCACTTGAAAAATCCTCCAATATGATCTCAATATTATCCATTTTACCTAGCGCACCACATATGTTTTGATGCATTATATATAGAAGTTTACTTTTCTTGTTTTCGAAAAAAGTCATCATTTGATAATTTTACATCCGAAACGATTTCACTAACACCTTGCTAAACTAATTTATCAGTTTGCGTCCCTTTGTTAGATTTATAGTGGTCTGTAGACATATACGAAATCTCTATTTCTGATAATAAGCTCTTAAGATCTGCATACAAAGCTCTCATGCCTTTATTGTTCACGGCACCAAGTTTACCAGAGAACATGTGATAATCATAGGTGAGATTCAAATTTGAATCTAGTAAATATGCATACTCATGGGCTTTAATATTTTTGTACAGCAAATAGTTAAAGTTTTCGATTCTTCTATTAAAAATATTTGTATCTTTAGCACATCTAAAATTTGGTATGGAAATTACTATATTAGTGTGAGTGATGCATTGTATGGTTTGCCTCAAGGTCTCCACTAGTCTGTTATAATCTTGTGACATCCTGAAGTCATAATCTCCAATTAGAATAACACAATAATCTTGTAAAATGTAATTAATCAGTTTTTTGTCAAGGCCTTGAATTAAATCTAATATACCAGCATTTGTTTTTATATAATGACAGAATTCAAAATCTTTAGAGATTTTGAATTCTGTCATTGTCTTGTGCAATGCCCTTTATATTATTTTTGTTGTTGCTGCTGATTATGCATATCTTTCTAGTGTGCTTCAAAGGTATCTGTTCATCAGTTCTGCATTGCTTACTTTTTTCTCCATAAATTTTTTTATATTCATTTACGCATACCTTGTGTTGTTCTTTATGATTTATTATTGAATTATGATTTTTACTTTCAATATTATTAGGGGTTTCCTTATTTTCTACAGTGTTAACTAGGTTTGATTCGACTTCGTTAATGTTTTGTGATCTGTTTGTACTTGATGCGTTCTTAATCTTAGATGATAATATACACACACATCTCTCAGGTTTCGACTTAAATTCGGCTATTTCTTTTTTTAATATATAGTTTTCTGATATCAAGTCTTCAATCTCCTTGTCTGCATTATCAAGTTTTCTTTGTAGTTCACATAATTTTTCATTTAATTTGCTTATACAATCTTTGGTATTTTTATCAGTCAGATCCACATGTGTTGGAGATGATGTTAAAGAAGAGTATTCAAAGTTCTCATCGACAGATAAGGAGCCAAATGAATTAGAGGCTTCTTTATTTGTAATTATTTTCTTACGTGTAGTAACATTTCTGGTAGCCGTTTCTAAGCTCTCAGTTAAAGGTGAGGACTGGTTTAGCACGCAGTCATTATCTTGTAATTTTTTTACACATGACTTACACTGGAATAGTCTTCTTTTATTTGGATTTTTTAAATAATATAATTTCGGTGAAATGTATGTACACTTCAAATGATAGTACTCATCGCAGTTGGAACAAATCAAAAACTCTCTATCAATGATTGTGTCATTACATGCCTTACATATTTTATCAGCCATTTTTTTAGATTTTTACCACTAATCAGAAGAAAACGAAATGTGATAATTGTACCACAATTCTTTTTCTCATTTGTTGTTAGATCGCTCTTAGCGATAACACCACCCATTGGCACATACTACACACTCGATAATTATCACGATATTTAACGTGATTTTTATCTTGCAATATTTTGGATCGAATCTATATACTACACACTCGATACTAATCGCGTCAGTACAACGGTAGATTTCATTCACTAAAGACGTGTACGTTACATAGTCCGAAGCCAGTAACGTAATGAGTGACTATAAAAGTAAAGCTTGCGTTGCTAGTATATTAGCGATAGCATTAAAAAGACGTGTAAAGAGAAAAAAAAAGCATTGGCTCCATCCATTTTTTTCTATTTACACGTCTCTCTCAAGAATTCTTTCAAGTTTTTTTGGTCATTTGTTTGAGGTACGACTGGCGCCGCCAATGCATCAAGAAACGCGTTCTCCTCCATCGGTGACAATGAATACTGACACGATAAATATCGACCAGAGACTAGACACTTGATATTTATCGACGATACTTGAGACAGATCGTTGGATTTCTGGATTTTTAATAATACAGCGATCCGTTTCACGATCCGTGATATGCTATACTACACACTCGATAAATATCGTAATCCTAGATTATGATCCAAATATCGTGATAATTATCGAGTGTGTAGCATGCGCCATTGGGGTGGTCTTATCGCTAAGAGCGATCTCTTCCAGACAACCTTTGGATGGACAGGACTGCAATAAAACAATAAAAAAAGTGTTAGGTTGGGCGACGAAAATAACATTATTTTTATTAAAGCCATAAAATAAAAATATGTAAGTACACATAATATAAGCACATAGATAAGATAAATACATACATACATATTAATATATATGTATATATATATATATATAAATATATATTTTTATAAATATAAATATATAAAAATACAAATATATACTCTAAGACATATAATATATATGTGCCATACATATAAACGAGACGCGAACAACTACGTACCAATCCTCGGCCAGGGCAGTCGGCGACGGCCCGTTCCGCGCCCCGCGTGCCTCTCAAGGCCCCCGCACACATCCATACACCCACACATAGCCGCAAGCGCTTTTACGTGCACACATGCTTAAGTGTCGTTTCTTTTCGCGTAGTGTATATCTTCTTTGGCAACATTGAGTTATAATGTACTACGTACTAGAGGAGACGCCTCAACACGCGTTTGCGAGCTCTCAAACTCAATTAGTCTGTGTCAAGCGGTTTCTGCAACGTGAGAAGTTTGAGTGAAGAATTATTTTTAAATTAATATGCCTTCGTGTGCATTGAGACACGGTTCAAACAACTCGAGAAACATAAGTAAAAGTCAAGGAGTTACTTTTCGCCAGTAAGTTATATTATTATCTTTAAAACACGCTTAATATTATATTTATCAACTGTATCGTATACGTGAATTTCAAAGAGTAAAACATTTTTATGCGCAGACTTAACACTATCGACGTATAATGTTAAGTAATTATGGACCGTAAATATTAATATATAATCAGGGTAGGAAATGTTAATACGTTAAATTTTTTTATTATTATTTGGATTTAAAGATTTCCTCGGCGTGTCATGAAACAGGAGAATTATGGATCAAATTTGTCCAGAAGAATCGCAGCGACGAAACGTGCTTACCGTCAGATTATTCACGCATATGTTCCGTACATTTCAAAGAAAACCACAAATAGCAGAGTATACTTAAAAAAATCTGCTGTACCATGCGGTAACGTAATTATATTATTATATAACATTGCTGGAATTTTTGTTTTATTTTGTGATTAGATGACGAACGAATTTTTGTAATGTGTAAATTCAGTATATATATACTCAGTATATATAATACTTAAGAGAGGCGGTACTCTCGGCGCGCGAATCATACTAGTATATGGCGGTTTTTAAACTGTAACGCTAGAATTTTTACAGGCTTCCCAAATAACAAGTATCTTTTTTCAGTCAACAAAATGTGGTGAACAAGAATTATTACAACCGTTGTATGAATCACTAAGCAGTTCAAATTCAATTTTTGATAGTCCGAGAAAAATTGTACTCAAAAGTAAATTACGCAAGGAATCTGCAGCTAGAAAGAAAATTACTTTGAAATTTAAGAAAGTACAAAGACAAAATATTTATTTAAAAAAAAATGTGATTCTTACAAATCAATTGTACGAAATTTAAAACGTAAATTCGGTCTCAACTTAAATGCTGAGATTGATTTAATGGCTAAAGCAGAAGTTGTGTAATTAAATAAATCTTTAATAAAAAGAATAAACATAGCACGCATTATTTATTATACACTGCACCTTAACGTAAATTCGCATTGTCTTTACACTATTATTAACCAGCTGCTTATAGATACGTTAGAGATGCTACAACAAAGCTCTCCCACATCCTCGGACAATTTGCAGATGGTATTCAACGGTTAATGCAGAACCCGGTTTTACAACAGAATCCTTTACAGCCTTAAAAAAGAAATCCCAATCCAACACAAATTCCAATAATCCTGTACTCTGCTCATTAGTGTTTGACGAAATAGCTATCAGGAGACAGAAGTTATTTCACAACAATCAAAAATTGGGTGCAGTTAATTTTGGAGCAGGTCCTATGCAAGGTGAAGATGATGAGACTGTATCAAGGCAAGCTTTAGTATTTATGCTGGTTGCCCTAAACGAAAATTGGAAATTACCTGTGGGGTACTTTTTGACGGTCGGTGTAAATGCCGAAACAAAGGCAAATTTTATAAAAATATGCTTGGAAAAATGCCATGAGGTTGGTGTAATAGTTTAAATTTTGGGCTGTAAAGTATCTGATGTCAGTAATATGAAGACTTATTTTCTCATCCATGCACGGGAGAAAAGGTTTGCATTTTTATAGACCCTTGCCATGTAATTTGGCTCTCCTGGTTACTAAGAAAATAAAAAAATTTAATTAGTAAAATTGCACAAATTGGTCCAGCAACTTTATTTATTACATTTTCTATTGTACTAGAAAGTGATCCTTACATATTAAAACAGCTATATGAAGAACAATACAATAAAAAGATTAGTTTGCAGATTGCGCTTGAATTCAAATATGATGAAAAAGTTCTTTTAATACGCAATAATCTAGTTACTTGCGCACGTTATATTAATTGTTATTTTAACAATATTCTCTACTACCTTAAAAAGGAATTTGGTTCCTTTAAAGTTAATCATGTTGAAGACTTTGTTCAAAAAGATGAAGTTCGACAAAAAGGAACTTTACATCGTCACATGCTATATAGGTTAAATAATGCTCCAAGTTATAATCCAGAAGATAATAATTCTGTAAAAGATTGTGTTGAATTCATTGACAAATTTATAACATGTCGATTAAATCGGATTAATCCATATGTATCAAACTATCTGATCACGCGCAGAACGCGTGGTAGTTAGGATGCAGTTTTTAAATAAAAATCTTCGTCTTCATAATACAATTCAATAGAAAACGTCATGTTTTTTTACATTCACAGAAAACATTCTCTTGTTTCTCAATACTCGTGACATCTGTCTTTTTTATTCTTTACAATTATTTAAAAAACTAAAATAAAAACAAAACATAAAAACTCCACGAACATACTCCGCTCCCCTGGAAGCTTCAGCTTTCAGTCTTTGTATTGGGGATCCAGTAGGGGACACAGGTATTTAATACCACGTTTGAGAACTCCGGTGGACGTCAGAACATCTGAAGTAACCTATGTACTCGTAGGTGATATTCGATGTATTAGAAAGTAAGCCAATATTAAATAAACACTCGAGTTGAACAAACGTGTTGATCTTTCATTCCCTAATTAATATCATAGTTCATGGCAACCCATGCCAAGCGCGCGTGTCCGGTTGCAGGCTAAAAGTGCGGACTTTGCACATTCCTGTGTGCCTCGGCAGTGAATGCAACTACGTAATAATAATGAATAAGAATATAATTATTAAATTTGTGACTGTGTATGCGCGTGTTCGTGCCAAAAAACAAAATGGGGAATAGTAATTCGAAAAATGAAGAACATGAAACAACGATTGCCCAAACTGGAGGAACCAATACTGTGGAAATAGAAGAAAAGGATTATCATATAAAGATTAACAATATATTGATCACAACATTTTTAATTTTGGCATCAATCGTCCTGTTTGTTATCATATTTTTGAAGCTGAAAGAAAAACATAAGAAATGGGTAGAAAAAAAAATTAATGCGGAATTTTTAAGAATGCGCACTAGACTGTCTAACAGACGTGAACCGCGTAATGAAGAAGATGTGTAAATTTGTGTTACCTTACTTTCTCCGAGTGCCTCTACACCGTATATCTACGTAACCGGCCTACCCCTGTACTGGACCCTGGACATAAGTGAGCGATCCTTGACTTCTCAGAGTGCCCCTACGCCGTATATCCACATGACGACGCCTGTTTTTGGACTCTGCGCATGAGCAGACAAGCAGCGTGAAACCGTGGTGTGTTTTATATTAGTGCAGTTCCTAAAAAGTGCATTTCCGTTTAGTTTTTACGAGAGTGAGTCAAACCTTTTTTTTACGTGACAATTATAGTGGCATTCGTAATTTTATAAACTTCTTTTCGAAAATTATGTTAAATTTAGGTAGCATGTTTAATTTTGTTTCTCTATAACATTTAAAATAATTTTAAAAAAATGTGTTAGTTCTAAGAATTCCGACCGCTGCGATCGGTCGAGATGCAATTCAACATTTGTAATCGGTACACTGTATGACTGTGCTTCGTTTTAGAATTAAATTAAAATCAATTGAATGAAATATGAACCGAGTGCAAGTTAACTTTAGCTTCTATATGAAATTAATGGTATTATGGCTGATAAAATAATAAAAGATTATGAGCAATTGTCAGAAATAAGGAAATATTTGATTAAAAAAGGACAAAGTAGGTATAAAGGTTCTATTGCGTTAAATAAGTTGAATGAAGCCGAG